AATCAGCGAAATACACTCATTTGCAAACAAATTAGGTTTTGCGAGAGACTCACCTGGAATCAAGCTGAATCTCTCGTTTATGACGTTTTTAGGCAACTGAACGTGTTGCGCCTGGCCGACTCATGTTTCAGTCGCTACGATATTCGAGATATCGCGATGCATATATAGACGCGATACACTACTCATATAGTTGCTGAAAACTCTTCGACAGCCCGCGACCGGTCTTACCCATCAGGTGAGTCGCTCGCAAAGCCAAATTTGTTTTAAAATAAGTGTATTTCGCGAATTTTATGTAATTTGGTTTCAAGTATAGAACATAAGGTTGACGGAAATTCGGGGTCTGCGTCTACCCAATGAGCCAGCCCCAAGAAGGACGAAGCCGGTCGGGGGCTGTCGAAAAGATTTTCAACAACCTTATGAGTAATACCCCATCGAATCATCTTTTGGTGGAACACGCTACTCACAGGGTTGCTGAAATCCTTCGATCACCCATGATCAGGTAGGCGCATTCTAGCAAATTTTGCCAGCCTGGTGTTTCGCTAAAAGGTGAAATTTTGCAAACTGGGGAACCACACTCATTGGCAAATTAGTTTGGCAGTAATACCTCTCAAATTTATCAGCAGTGTTTTCAGTAAAGAGAATATGCTGTGATAGTTCGAATGTCCTACTAACTGGTCTTTTGACGCATACTCACTTAAAACATATCATATGCCAGAATTCACCACTTTCAGTGAATCTGCTTCTGGGAGACGATTAGAACTTTTGGTGGCCATAAAAGGTGATTTAAACTGTCAGATCGGCTTTTGGACGCATCAGTAAGGGTTTTGCCTAAAAAATTGTTGTGTTCAGACATCCCGTGCTCATGATATCATCAATACTTTGAAGACAACGGATGTCATCGACACGCAATACTAATTAATATGGTAAAATTGTGCATAGTAATCATCTTGGTGATCATCTAATCCATGAGTCTATTTAAATTCCCATCGGCCACATAGCAAAAAACCGATTCCCGAGCCTTATTGATCTCTATTAAGTAGTACGTGGGTTTTCAAACCCAAGTAAAGTAAAGGTTGTGAAAAACCTCAAAAAAGAAGAAAAAACATATTCAACCGCGATAATTGTTCCTCAAGTATTATCGAAGGTTATTTATTCATTCTTGACTTTGAGGTGACATCCGTCCCATTCAGTTAAGTAGTTCTGATGTTAGGAATATCTCGAGGGGGCGAGATGGTTCAAGTGGTTAGAGCACGAATTTACTGACTGGAAGGCCGGTGGTTCGAACCCGACCTCTTCCTCTCGACTTCCTGTGTTTAGAGTTGGGAAATCTGGCAGTATCCCAAACCGCGTACTTCCTTCGGGTGGCATGGCAGCTAGGCACCGGAAGAGTGTTACAGCTGAAAGAAAATTTCGAACCCTCTCGTACGTACACAAGTAAACAGGCCTAAAAGCAGCACACTACTCATATGAGTGCATTTCGCAAAATAGACAGCATATTATGGTTAAGCCTATCGTATGAGTAGGTTCGACTATGCAGTGTTTATTTGTCTCACCGAGGGGACAACTTAGAAAAGGGATTCGTTCGGCCCTCCTGCCAGAGGACCAGAGATTTTGTTCTCCAATCCATCACAGATGTGAGTTACTCAAAACCGGGCGGCTTCTTCACTTGCTGGTGGCCAAACACCGCAGTTGAATGAGTCACTACCCAGAAGGAATTGCATTGATTGTGCTGTAGGGGTCTGATGTGTGACTTCAAAATGATCGTCACGTGAAGATGACTTTTAGCTGTCGCAAATCTGAATTCACACTTTCTGAACAATTTGTTTAATAAAGTCTTCTCTGTCGAGATTTCCCGTTCACACACCAAAACCTCTAATCTATGTGGAAATTTCAAATCCATATTTGTTGTGAAATCGGAAATAGAAACGATATATTTGTTTACAGTGGCCACAGGAATGACGAAACACAAGAAGAGAAAATACACTTTTTGGAGTAATTATCCGAAAAATGAACGTGACTGCGCTGGTCTTTTGATAAACCATTGCACATAGGTCATGCCAGAAACCAGTATAAAACATAAGAGCTCACAAGGAAGGACGATCTGGTCCACTGTCCACCTGACCGTCCCAGATAGGCACACTCAGCACAATTTCTTTCCGTCAAGCATGTTCCGAATACAAACTGCTGGCCATTTCATCACCTTCAGAAGAAAATCAGACCCTTTATCCGCTGAAGGCACACACACAGCGATCATCGTCAAGATGATATAAAACCATACGATGATCATGGCCAACGGGAACGCTCCAAGTAGCATGATAAAGAACCAGAGAATTCCCCATCCAACTTCCGAACAGCTTCTGGCCATTGCGGAAAATCGCAGGCGAATGTGAGTTTTACTGGGCACAGCACATTGATCGGTTTATAACGGTAAGACTGACCTCAATTTAGCGTGTCGACAGAACTGTAGGTTATTGTGCGTGAATGTGTGCGTTAACTGCATTGCTGACCATTTTTCCTCACCTTACTTCACCCAAATTGTCATGACTACGTGATTAACGTGGCCAATTTGGCCAAGCATCGACCTTCGTATAACAGCCAATGACAAGCAAGCGTCAAGGTTATTTGTAATCAGTCACCGTCAGGGCGAAATTGTGCAATGCTTAGACGCACAACCGCGTGGGAACAACGCACACACACATAAAATGGGATCGTGCATAATTTCGGCCACGTTTTTTCCCAAACGTTAGACAAAGAGGGGGTGGGGCGTGAGCAGGTTCGTTAAACAAGGTAGCTGATGGCACTTAAACCTTTGCTGACAACCAGGAGAAGGATGGTTTGACCTAGTACGTCGTACGCCAGTACTTGACAGGCTTCAGCTCTGGTCGAATTCCATGATCAGTAATCTTAAACAGAAAAGTTACGCCTAAGCGAGGTTCAACTGACTTGTGGCCAATTTCGCTCACCAGCAGCTGGTCAGTGTTTAACAAACGGGCCGACAGAGCGATTACCAAGAGGTGACAACTTCTCCATTTTCATAATCAGTCAAGCCAACCTTCGGAAAACACTGGCAGTCTACCAGTTCCAGGAATCGAACACAACGTTTCAGTCTCATAACAAATTTAGTTTACAGTGATTGTCATCGAGTTTCGACTTGACCATATCAACTTGAGTCAAACGTGCGCTGGTCTACTAGCTATAACAGGTGTACTCGTGACACAGGCTGAGATCTTCGCTTAAAAGCGTTAGAGAGTGATGCTTCGACAACTTTTCGGTGCGACCGAACCCTGGGTTTTCACTGCTCGGAAGCTGGTAGTAGGTCGAAAGCAAAATCAACACGAAACGCCAAACCGATATACTATTGGAGACTACAAAACCTAATCAGATATCACATTCTCTGGTGAATCTGAGTCAATCTCGAGGTCTTGAGGAAATAGTTGATGGTCAGGGAAGTATTCGAATCTTGCAACCAACGGTCGAAATTCGTCCAAATTAAATTTTTAGGTGCGAAAGATTAGCCAGAGATTGACAGTCACTGTTTTTGGCCGTGCTTTTATGGACTAACATCCCCAGATGCATAAACCTTCATGTCTTCTTCTGATCTTACGCGTTTGACGTGATCGTTCACTCGTGACCCGTCCGTCTTCGATGGTCCGAAGGTTTCCGTATTCTTTACATGCATGCAAAATCTTTCACTCTTTCAACCGCAACACCCTTTCGATGCCTAGCTGCCATGCCACCAGAAAAAAGCACGAGGACTGCTAGTTCGAGAGGAAGAGGTCGGGTTCGAACCACGGATATTCCGGTCAGTAATTTCGCGCTCAAACCATTGAGCTACTTCGCCCCCTGAAAGGAAATGATGACAAGCGTTCAGCTGTAGCACCCTTCCAGTGCCTAGCTGCCACGCCACCCGAAGGAAGCACGAGGGCTGGGATACTGCCAGGTTGCCCAAGCCTAGACAGGGGAAGTCGGGAGGCAGAGGTCGGGTTCGAACCACGGACTTTCCGGTCAGTAAATTCGCGCTCTAACCACTTGGGTCATCATGACAAGCAGACCAGACTGTTATCGCGAGTCACTACCGACATTCAAGCATGGCATTAAGCTCATGTTATACGACTGTCGCTTCGATGAAGGCGTAAAAGCATGTGGATAATGGGACACTGGTATCAGTAGTGATTCGTCAGTGTGTGGAGTAAATCAATCACGGCCTAAGAGTTGTAATAAGCAATAAATCGAGGGCGACGCAGCCGCTGCACCATTCCGACGTCCCTTTACGGTATCTTTTGCGCACAAGTATCGGAACCGAAAGTTTTAAGGATGGAATTTATCGTTATGATGGCGTTGGGCGTCATAAAAGAAAAACGGTGCCTCAGGACCCCATGATATCGAGTGCATTTTTAGAATTCCTGAAAACAGTGTCTATGGAGAGAGGAGAACTGCGACAGACTGATAAATAAACTAACGGTTATGGATAAGTTTATCTATTCGACCAGAAACCTTGACCACGAGTGCTTCCGTGAATAGGAACGAATCATATCTGCGTAGTTTCACGTTAGCTGTCAGTTGACCTTAAAGTTAGTTCTCGACGGACTCAGGTTGCATATTGACTGCCCAGAAGCCAGCCGTCCCCAATAACCGCACATCACATCATTTGGATGGATGTGTCACGTGCAGGACACGGACCAAACGAAGGCATGCCCTGATTGGTCAAAACGCCAGCCAATCCGGATCGAGCATCTTTAACTCTACGCTTCTCGCCCCTCACGGAGATTCTAGCACGACCTTGTGGAGCACTCTGTGATAACCCTATAAATACAGTTGTAATAATTCTCTTTTGTCTTCATAAAGGGCTGTGTAGAGCTACCGTGCCTTTGGATATACCATAGTGGACGGAGCAGGAAGCCAAAGGGTCGATACAGAGTTGCGCGCGGTATCACGTTAAATATATCCAACCGACGTAGTGTAACAAGTAAAAAGCTCAGCTAATCAATGGGATCAGATTAGAAAAGCACTGTTAAAAAGCGAGAATGATAAGCAATTTTGTATCCGGTTACATACCGCTTCGGCTAATCACATGCCATCGCAAAAACCATTAAGTTATCACAGTTGACGCTACTGTTGCAATACATAGATAGGGGGTATATGAAGATCGATCTGAACGATTTAAACAGTGCATGAAATGCCCGTGGGGTGAAAGATCCAAGTGGGGAAAGGACAAAATAAAACATTATTAGTGAGTGGGGTAAGAAAAAAAAGGTAAGCAAAGTCAATAACAAGTATCTATCAAGGTTGAATTCAGAACTGCGAGTCTCCCTTCAGATCTGGTTCGTTCTAGAACGCACGGAAAAACGCATCACGTTGCTTTGGATGAAGAAAAGCTGCTAATATTGTTGCTGGGTAGCTCGTCCAGTGGCAAATTCGATTTCAGATCCTGTTTGAAAAATCGTTCCAGGCGGTCGAAATATGCGGGAAATTCGGTGATGTCATTGTGTCCAGCTCCGTCAACCCACAAAGGTTCTAGCGGATTCGGTAGGCGGGAGTACAACTCACGCCCGTGATTAACCCCAATGACGTCGTCCGCCGTCCCGTGTATGATGAGTGTCGGTGATCGAATCTTTGGTATCTTTTCGATGCTGTAAAATAACATCACATCAAAGACATTGAACTACACTGAACAAAGGAGTCAATGCATTGCTCTCGGCGGTATTAAGTGTACCACACTAAAAAGTCTATATTTGTTTAATTACTGACACTTTGTGAGTAGCACAAAATAAAAACAGTACTGAACAGATGCACTCCATTGGCCTGCTACCCATAAGCAGGATAGCCCGTACAGCCAAGACTGACAACATAGACAGTTTTTGCGAAGAAATATGTACAATACGCACACAATAGAAGGACTGGCATAGGATAGTGGTGCTCAGTCAGTGAGCACCTCCTTCTGAGGATGGTTCTAGAGAGTGGGAGGCTAAGGTTCGCAGACTCGAACTTCATTGATTCCACTTCACCTGGAGTTTGAGGTAAGTGATATTCATACTGAAAAATTTCGCGGCAATGATCGCTAAAATACTACATCTCGAAGTGCAATATTCGTTCATCAAATTGCATAATGTTCTACAAAAATCCCACAATGTATTCACAACAGAGATTAAATGTTGTTTTTGCGTTTGGAAAACTCTACTAAAATGGTAAGAAATGTAATAAAGTAATAAAATAAAGACAATCAGAGACGCGTCGGAAAAATAAACGAGCGATAATAAGGCAGTGCCCTTAGAGACAGAAACTTTAGAGGCAAGGGTTGCGGGAAATGGTAGTGGGACTGATGCTGGTGCAAGACGGCTTGGATACTGCCAGGTTGCCCATGCCTAGACAGGGGAAGTCGAGGTGCAGAGGTCAGGTTCGAACCGCGGAGCTTCCGAATTCGTGCTCTAATCACCTACCCATCTCGTCCAATTCTAGCAGTCTCTGGTCAAGCGCAGTAGAGGTCACGGGGACCCCATACCGCAAAGCGTGATGGACCAACAATACGCAAACGTTTCGTAATCTTTCACACCCGTTTGCCAAGTCGTACGTTATCCACCTCGCGGTATCCGTCACTCTGAAGGAGGCATGGGGATGTCGATAGATGGTGCCTCGGCATGCGTAGCACATGGCCGAGCCAACGCAATTGATGGTGCCGGATGTTTCCCACGACTAAAGTAGTAACCTTTACCCTCACATTTAACACGGAAGTGGAACGATTTATGGCGCTCTGAGTCGACGCATTGGCATGAACCTAGCTATTTTGTCCGACTAACCGATTAACAAAAAAAGAAGGAGAACCGGTAAACGCCTGCTCGGTTTACAACCCAGGCCAGAATGTATTGGAATGTTGGTAGCTCGGGGGAATTCACTGTTAGTTGATCACGTGACTGTTGAGCTGTTCACCGAGCCTGGTAACTGACTTGCAGACGTTTCGTCACTATTCGAGGAGTCGTCATCAGTGTGCTGTTATTTGGGTAGTTCCTTTCTTCGTGCTTGCGCTCATATAGCTGACAAAGAGCAGCTTTAAGCGACTACCTGATTGGTCATTGATAATAATCCGAATTGAAGTCTGACTGGTCCGTTCTTGATCCGTGTTGCGTTGTGGTCTGAATGACTCGGTATATTATAGACCAATCAAACAACAGGAAGGTGAATTACGGTCATCAGCCAGAACAGGGAATACAGGACAACCAGGCCAGTATGTACGGGACCAATCGAACGTGAGAAATCAATCATTCTGTCTACCAATGAAGCGATTAAACGCGTCAAATACTTGGAGAGCTGAATGTCACCGGACGAATGGACCAGAGTCGAAGTTAGCGAATCGTAACAAACATGGGTGTTTTTGGGAAAAAACTTCCTACCTAGGAGAAGGTCTTACGAGCACTTCAGCCCTGTTCTGAGCATACAAAACCTGGTTTCTGTGGGCCGAAAGTATTCTCCAGCTGTTCGCCATCTGGCGTGAGCAACTCAAAGGAGTGACAAGTACCGTCTGTAAATACAAAGATATTGGTAAATCTTCACCCGGATAGCGTCCGCGTAATTCACCCCGCGCCTGACAGAGGACGCCGCAAGATATGGTTTACCAATGGCGTTCCCGTTCTATTTAGGCTGTCTGGCGTTCAGCTGTAGCGCCCTTCCGGTGCCTGGCTGCCATGCCACCCGAAAAAAGCACGAGGGCTGGGATACTGCCAGGTTGTCCAAGTCTAGACAGGGGAAATCGAGAGGCGGAGGTCGGGTCCGAACCGCGGACCTTCCGGTCAGTAAAATCGTGCTCCCCGAGATTGTCTGGATGGACTACGAGGCCTCGGGGGCTCGTAGTACAAGTAGTAACCTGGCAATAAGCTTCTTTCTCTTCTTCTAACAATATGACATTCAAAGTGTTATGCTGTTGTCAGTTGATAAAACGGTTTTCAAAAGGGATAATGTGTAGTTGATGATGACGATAATTGCTAATCAACCATATTTTCTGGGTTGTATAACTTTAACGGTTGGGCTATTTTCGGTCGGAACGTTTCGGGTGCCTTATTGATAATTATATATAATAAATAATCGATCAGCTGTAACGTCATTTGATGCATAGGTGATGTACCGTCCAAAGAAAGCACGAGAGTTGAGGGGCTACCCAAGCCCAGACGAGAGAAGCTGAAGTACTGAGATTGAATTCGAAGCACGGACCTTCCGGCAAATAATTTCGCGTCCTTATAGCTGAGCCACCTCGGAATCGAGTGCCTAGTTGAGGACCGAAGGTCGGCGGTCTTTGGTTGATCACCAGCAGGCACTGAGCAAAACCAGTTCTGGTGGAACGCTTGCTGACTTCAATCATACCGAATTTCTTACTCTTTTTCATTACTAGCATATATTCTACGATTTGGCCGAATTACCGCGTGATTGGCTTTTTGAAAGACACAATAACTCACTTGGTAAAGGCATCGAAACAGAAGCTCGTTTTTAGATTAGGCCAAACGACCCTCAGGCCGGACATGAGAGGGGAGTGGAGAACTACGCCGGCAACCTGGAAGTGAGCGTGCAGGGAGTGAGATGTATTCACATTTGCGTTGATCACTTTGTTTTAAAGAATGAATGTGAAGGGAGCACCAGATACAACACACACACACACACACACACACACAAGAACTGCAAGCCATGGTTCACGGCTGGCCGATACAAAACCTCAAGGAAACGGATTGACAACAAGGGGTTTCTACTGGCCGCTTAGCTCCGCAGGATGTTACATATTCACCACACAGTACAAAGAAAAAGAGCCCGAAGGCAGCGAATAACAGGAGAAATTTGGCTGTCACGAAAGGTCTAGTGATCGATCCTGATAGGACAAAGAAGACTGCTTAAATAAATTGTCGAACAGTGAGAAGCAGAATAGTCGATGGTAGCACACGTTTGGATAAACAAGAATGAGACATAACACTCAGCTATCAACGGTGAAAAAAAAACGCTGAGGACAGTACATGGAGTATGTGTGAAGAAAAGGGTCACTGTACCTTGTATTTCGTTGCCAGTTCAACTGTCGGTGCAGTTCCGAGGCTTTGTCCGTAAAGAATCGTGCGTTCCAGCGGTACAGAGAAGCGTTCACGGAGCTCGCTCATCACGGCCTCCGCGTCGGCGTATACATTACTTTCCAAGAGATCACCGGTACTCAGACCGTAACCGGAATAATCATAAGAGAGGATATTGACACGGAACCGACGCGCGAATTCCTGCAGGAAATCGGCCGTCTGAGTAAAACAAATGGAGGCGTAGGTAAGCGAACCAGGTGCAGTCAGGGTTGACTTCAAGCGGATGACATTGAATATGGTGAGATAGCAGCCGTTTCTGGGTCGATGGACACTCGCCCACCGTGGGTACTATCACGCAGTTTGCATTCAACCACAGGTGTATCAGCCTGAACGCACGTATCCGGTTTAAACCCGAGGGGATAACACCGGAGGATGGACAGGGCGAACAATGGATATACAAAATTAAAAGCATACATCTAAAGTTGCTTTGAGGAGCACTGACTCTTTGGTGGACTCATAAACGGCTTCACAAGACGCTTCGTATTAGATTTGTCCACGAGGTTTCTGAACGGTTAGTAGTCATCTCAGAGAATGGTTTAGGCAGTGATCATGAGTATATCATCTCATTGTCAGAGTAAGAACAGGGATGGCACACAGCGAACGAGTCAAAATTGATCGCTCCGTGGGTAGGGACGTAGCCCACACTTAAACCGAGTTTCCGCTCACGGTTTGATCAGTCTTCCCGTTATACACTACCATCAGGTATCGCGATGCGACCGTCTATCTATCGCAGCGATCCTATCAGACTGTTCATCGGACAAAGAGGCCAAATAATTAGGCTTCCGACCCATCAGGGTAAACACAGGGCTGACGTTGGAGGGTGCGGTACCGACTATCAATGTCCTGCTCCCAGCTTTTTGAGACAAAAAACCTGTATGAACGCCCCAATCAACATCCTGTCTAAGGTTGAGCGAGCCGGAATCAGCTCAGCCCTCATACAGCTACGCCAAACCCAAACCAAAGTTAGAACACTCCAAGTAAGCCGGGTATAAGAACCTACACGTAAGTACTAACAGGACAGTTTCATCAAAAACATGTGTGAAACTCGATACACACGGGACTCGCATCAACGTCTGACTGACTGAAACAGTTTCAAGGCAAACCATCAACTATTGGGTTCACAAGAGGGGCAACAAAAAACCCCTAAGAACTTCGACGCTCCAATTCTGAATGTAACAACCTTCAGTTAGATTCTCATTCAACCATGGTATTCATATTGATTCAAGCACCATGCATAACAAAAACTGTTTGAATTATACGGCAAATATGGTCTAACGTGACAAAAACAGGAAGATTCTAGCACCATTTCGGTGCCCAGTTGCCATGCGACTCGAAAGAAGAACGAGGGTTGACATACAAGCAGGTTGCCAAACCGAAACAGAAGCAGTCGAGAAGCCCGGGTTGGGTTTGAACCACAGACCTTCCGATAAGGAATTTCGCACCCTAATCACAGAGCTACCCCAGTAACGGTGGATACTACTGATGGGGCATGCGAGTAGCATGTTTTCCGTAAATCCGCTTCGCACCTCTTGAAAAGTGAGATCTACTACGGAATTTGTGGGGTCGCATTTGCTTGCATCTGAGTAACAGTCAATGAATATCGAGAAAAGTTCAGGAAGACGCGTTCAAGGAGAAGATGGATATTCAGTTTTTGTAAACATGATGCATATGAGAGTTTTACTTCCCTGTCCAATAGTCTGTAACTGTTCACTTGGTTTTTTCTAATACATAACTCCGCAGTGAAGGCCTTCTTCCCCGAGTTCAGGGAAACCGAGGAAAAACTCAATCGAGTGTGCGGAATGCAGGGTAGTATTCCCAAACTGGATTGATATACCAGACTAAGGAAAATTCAGTCAGTTGAGTTATTCATACAGATTCATTTCGAATGCAGATTTCTACCAGAAATTAGTGTAAATTAATAGTGAAGGTCAAAAGTGATCCCGTGTAAAGCCCGAGAACGCCATATAGTATTCGGGAGAGTCCACTCTGCTCCGATGAATCAGCTGGTCACACCTCACAAATTACACCTTGTATGTCAGGGGGCCGTTTACCTCCTAGAAACGTCTTTGCCCTGCCTTGTGTAGAAGACCAAGGGACGACCAGTTCATGACTTGACAACGAAGCACGAAAGTCCTCACCAGTCGACTCAGTCGCAATGGTAACTGCCGTCCACCAGAACGGAGACATCAGGGGACCTGACAGATATGGCTGTGCCACACAGTCAATGGCGGTCTTGCGTAAAAATTGTAGTCTTCAGTGCATGCGCCTCAGTCCCTACCATACAGGACAAACAGAACCACTTCACAGCTAAAAAGATTAGACCATCGCCTCCAAAGCTTGATTCTCATACCCTTATTCTTCTTATCCTCTGTGAACGAGGCAGAAGCAGTTGGAACGATTGTACACGGCTTGTGAGCTGAAGAAATAAAACGAACTTGTGACACCCGCACTTGACAGCAATCGCAACATACTAAGTGTCAGCCGCACTTGGCAGCAATCGCAACATACTAAAGAGTGTCTCCGATTGCTTCTTACTAAGTGTCAACTGTTTCCACAAGGTTAAATTTGCGTTGACCCTTGTCACACAGCATTGCAAGTGCCACATCAAGTCAAGCACAGTGAGCATTGCTTTCAGCAGCCATTCAGAATCAATAAGACGACTTTCGAACGACATAGTGTGCAAATCAATCCAATCACCCTTACAGAAGAATCAAATAATACATCCGTCGGAAAGTTATGCAATGTGCATCCGGAGACGGTCAGGACTAAATGTACGAACAAACCGTTGACTGGACAAATGTGTGACGAATAGGCTATGGAAGAGAGTTGGGCATGTCCTGATTGGTTAGAATATGAGCCAATCAGAATCGAGCCATTTTTACTCGGTACTTCTCAGCTGAGCAAGAGCGTTTTGGTGTGACTTTGCGAATACATTTGCGATAAGTTGCAATTGCTGTAGACTAGTTTGTTCCCATTGAGCTTTTCAGCCCAGTTAGAATGCATCGAATCAGAACTGCAAGTGATTGCAGACTATCGATAGTATCCTCTACAACCAAAGTTCACCTGGGCATGTTCCAGTCGTTGGTGTGGTTTACGCCCTTTTAACAGTCCAAATTCGCGCTCGATATTATTCGCTAACAGCTGGCTCGCGTTTAAACAAAACTTCTTGCGTCGGGAGCGATGCGAGCAAAGGTCACATTTCAGCCGGCGTGAGGTTGTGCGCACAATTGACCTGACTAGTTTGGTAAAAGAAAACCAACTAGCAGATGAACTGAGAGGAATCGATCTTTGGCATTGCAAAAAAACAGCAAACGGTTGGACTGCTCGCACTCTTGACAGCAGTGGCGCCAGGATCGGAAATCATAAAATTCGAAACTCAGCTAATGGGCATGAATATAGGAAAAGTGGTCGCCTATGCATTTGGCGAAAAACAGAAAAAATACACAGACTTTCTATCGTGAAGTTCCAGTGGTAGAAAGCAACATACCGCACCCAAATCCACTGCGTTTCCATGACTAAACAGAACTGTGTACGGAGCCTCTGTACTAGAAGCCAAAACAGTAGTTCGACGTGGGGAGCTCACAGAAGATAAGCAACCGCCATCCGATGGAACATACAGACAGACTATTTTCGATTGACGTTGGGTCGTTGTGTAGAAGGCCTGGGAGGGGAAAAGGGAAAGATGGCTAAGGGGGACGATACCACGAATGAATCGAACACAATCCATTCAAAAAAGATTGAGTGGGATGTGTAGACCAAGGTTGATGGCGTGGTCAGCCCCATACCAACCGTACGATCATCGAAAGTAGCGATAATAAGGAGGGTGGTGCGATTATTCGGTGGGCTTCATACTGGGGGTCAAAAAAGATTGAGTGGGATGTGTAGACCAAGGTTGATGGCGTAGTCAACCCCATACCAACCGTACGATCATCGGAAGTAGCGATACTAAGGAGGGTGATGCGATTATTTGATGGGTTTCCGATCCAGAGAACTGGCAGTTGTTAACGTAACTGATTTTACTGGTTAGGGCCCTCACAGTTCATCACCATGTAAATGAGCTGAATAGACGAGATATTTAGCTAGATTCAACTGAGCAACCCATCAAAACTGAATTTGTCCGGAACTGAGAGTATGCAGTGAATACGTTTCAGAGGTTTCCACCATGCATGTGTGTGGAAAGAGGGATTCACGGGATAGACAGCCCTCTGGTAATTGACCACACTCTACGGAAATGAGCTGCCATTTCACTTCTACTGCCGCCACACACGACCGAAGGAAGCACGAGGGCCAAGATACTGCCAAGTTACCGCAGGCTAGACAAGGGCAGTCGAGAGGCAGAGGTTGGGTTCGAACCACAGACCTTCCGACCAATGAATTTGCGCCCTAACCACCGAGTGATATCTCGAACTTCTGGATCTGTTATAGGAAGATAGTACTCAACCTCCAGAGTGACTACCACAAGTCAACCACTACTAACTAAAAGAATTAACTGAAAATATTTGACAGAGAAAGGGAGAGAGGAGTGCGTGGCAAGAGTCCAGCTCCAGATTTACTTGTCTAGGTTTGGACGAACTGGCACTATCTTGAACCTCACATCTTCTACCGGCTCCACGAAGACTACGCCGATGTTGGCTTGATATTATATATATATATATANCATCCTGATGCAACTCGTGAAAGTCCACGAGACTAGCGCGCGTGTGGAACAGCTGGGCGGCAATGGTGCGCGAGAGAAAGAAACCAGGGACGGACTGAAAGCATCAAAAATTTTAAATACTATCGCGATTCGGTCCTTCAAAAGATGAGACCAACTCCATCCATCAGGAAGTGATACAGAACAGTGCCGTTGAACTAGAGACCACCGAGAACCACGGCAAAGAAAAACTGAGTCAACCAGTCCGGAGTTAGGAAGGACAACTCAATACGAATGGATCTAAATCCACGAACGCCAGCCACATGAACAATTCAAAAACATGTAATTCGAACTCACGAGCAACTCCGACGGTTCCGAAACGTTGGACATATAGGGAAAAGCGTTCAAATCCAGTTGGAGTCTGTACGATGATCCATCCTCACAAGCTACCACTGAATACGTCGGTCGCGGCGGATAGAAAGCATATTTGGCCACGATGCGTGCCATAGTTCTGGCGTCGCTTCAAGATCAACCAGATAGTCAGTATACGTGGCCCGTGAGCATCGTATACATGGCATCAAGGGTTCCGTAAGGGTGCGTTCGACCAAGAAATCTGAAAGATAATGGCACTTTAAATGAAACACTTGCTGAGATTTCCCCCCAGAGAGAGCCTTTCTAGGTCACACTGATGTAAAACAACAGTCTGGCATGCACCGGGGTTCATTATTTACTACAGAAAGGAATAGGAAGGAGATTTAGAGTAAAGATATGACGAGGAGGAAAGATGGAGCAGTGGGACAAAAAATTGTTCAGCTACAGTACCTTTTTGGTGCCATGCCAACGGGTGGGGGGAACATGAGGGCTGGGATATTGCCCAAGCCTAGACCGGAGCAATCGGGATACTGAGGTTGGATTCGAACCATGGACCTTCCGGTCCGTTAGCTGGGCTGCCTCGACAACTGAAAGCCGGTTTCCGAATATTCGACCTTATCAATCTCACCGGAGGTGCCGGTTCGAAACATGCTTCACGTCGAACTCATGATGTGGAGTAAAGCCGATACGACAGCCTTTACTGACAGTGAGTGAGTTAGAGCTAGGTGCGGTGAGAGTTTGGCTCCCGGAATTGTAACTGTTCGAAAGACCTAGCAACCGATTATAAGTTGTTGTCCTACACGTATAGACCCAGCTTCTAAATTCATCGCACTGACTTGGGAAGAGAATAACGCACTAATGAGGAAGTATGAAAAAAACCGTCCAGCTGTAGCACTCTTTCGGTGCTTAGCTGCCATACCACCCGAAGGAAGCACGAGGGCTGGGATACTGCTAGGTTGCCCAAGCCTAGACAGGGATAGTCGAGAGGCAGAGGTCAGGTTCGAACCACGGACCTTCCGGCCAGTAGATTCGCGCTCTAACCACTTGGTCCATCTCGCCCAGGAAGCATGAGGAAGCATGATCGTGGAGTTACACGGAGGATAGGATGCAAGTGACTGCCCTGCTATCGAAAGAAATCGTTCAGCTGTAACATACTTCGGGCGCCTAGGGCCATACCAACTGGCTTTTGTTCGGGCGATAGGATGCAAGTGACTGCCCTGCTATCGGGTTGGCGATCATTGCATTTTGAAGGCAATCTCATCTGCCACGGATGTTTCAGGTTCACGTTGCTTCTTCAGCAACACAACTGGCGAACCGTCGCCCAGCATACAGAACCAACATTCTATCCTTCATTTTGGTTGGAACACTTCTACGACAGGAGGCGAATTAAGCTTATTTAGAAAAACTACACTGTTGGTGGCCTCACTCGAAGCTCAAGAGATTACTCAACCCAATCTCTGGACCATACTGAGAGGCTTCAGGTCGCCGTTCGCTTGTATATCTTATTATACTGATTTATTCAATCAAAAATCACGTTGTCCCACGTGACGGCACGGAATTTGTCAAGTGACCAGTGGTATGTCGTTAGACTTGCAATCAGAGTTAAGTGAAAGATTCTTACCTTTTTCCACGTTGAGATTCCACAAAATTCTCGTGATATCAAAAATGAAGCCGGTTGCCGACAGAATTTCGCACTCCACAAAGTGTCAACTAGCCATCCGAGGCACACTCATGTGCTTAGACATCAAACACCTGTCCAATCACTCTTCGACTCGAACCGCTGTCTTCTCATGTGTTTACAGAAAAATGGTGTAGCATGTGTCACGTGGCGGTATGGAAAATCCCCACGGATCCAATTCAAACGGAAGGCATCGCATGTGATCTGCTGCGATATTACGCACGTTTTTCCCTTCCTCTATTGCAGCTAACAAGAACGGTGAATAACGCGACCGCCGTGATAAAATAAACGCGTCTCGTAAGGTTTTCGGAAGCATTTTACTCAAAATTTGTCGTTATATTAATAAGAAATTGACCCAATGAGTCCGACTTAGGGGTGCATTCTAATTTCTATAAGTCATCATCATTATCATCGATGGGTATGAGTGTTCAACACTGATGTTTCACAGCTGTACAACCATGATTTATTTGAAAGCCTCATTGTGAAAAAAAGGAGAAACGTGGACGGGCACGAGACTTAGTGTAAACTTACGACAATCTTTCTGAGGTGACTAAACCTCCAAACACTCATTAGGGCAATCCGGATAGAAACTGATAATAAGGACGCCATTGACATTGGTTGGCAGCCATATAATTGGTTAATTATCGATGAATTCACTACTTAACAAGTAGCAGACAACTTGTGCCTTCTTCCAAGTGCCATAAAGTCCCATGTAGTTTGCGACTCTGAGCGCCTGGGACGGGTGAGAAGGCAACTTGATCTGAAGAGAGGATTGATGAGTGAATCTTGTCATCTGTATTTTGATTTCAGTAAGTACTGTCGAAAAGTAGAAAAAAATCCTGTCGAAAAGCTGATTGGTTTTCCCAGTGTGTCGTTTGCCTATTGGCCCCAAGAATGTCACAAATAAGCGACTGGGATTCTATGCAACAAGCCGATCGATAATGCCTCTTCTATAGATGCAGATGATACCAACAGTTCCACAAATTATGGGAACTTTCTCCGAGTTCCACATGTTTCGCGACAAAAACAAGAGCTCAGTGGTCAGTAGTAGAAACTCATCCGGTCTTGGGTTTTCGTTACCGTTGCGGCTGGCTTTGAGCTCCAGATAGCTCAGCAGCTGAGGAGCGAACTTGTTGATCAGAACATCTGGCATCTCAGCTGCTCCTGTCTAGGCCAAGGCAGCCTGGCAGCATATCAGTCTTTGTGTGGCGTTACAGCTGAACGGTTAGTTGTCTTGCGGTTGATGTCTATAAGTAAATGGGCGTGAGCGCTTGACAGGAAACAGACTATGTTCAGTCCACAACTAAAGAGGTCACTGCCCGATATCTGTACGCTAAACATTGACTTCAAATATACTACCAAACTGTGCTACTTCCAGGGTTAAAATTGGCCGTTCATATCGCCCGCCTGAATGTTTACTAGGTTTTCCATAGTTGGTCAAAGTAGTCTGGTAGATCCGATAAAACNGAAGAGTCGTCTGTTGGGAGGATTGCTGTCAACCGCATCATCATCATCATCATCATTATCGACAGCATAACGTCAATGTCTAACACAAATGCTTCGCTGCCGGACTGGGATACTGCAATGACCCCCAGACTTAGAAGGAAAGACAAGCAGGGACCTCAACCAAAGCCTTCGACTTAAAAGCCTGACCGAAAGGCAGCCGTGTTTGGCGGGAAATGCATGTGTATTACCCTTTTCACGGAACAAGTCACCACACATGCTCCAATCCCTAACCTGAAGGGCCAGCAAACTGTTCGTCAGACCTCCAACATAGAGAAATCTGGTATGAGATGCTCTACGAGTTTCGCAAGTGCACCCCCGAGTATAGAGGAACAAACTGTCACACACCACGGTAAGGTAAAGTCTCTTCGTAACGGACCGCATTGACTGAGAATGGTATACCGCAAAGACGGCCATTGGCTGGAATCCAGCCCAGTAAGGTACCTTCAGACATGTGACCGAGTGCGATTCCCACGCCCTTGCACCAGGATCACCAGACACACGAAAAGTAAGGCATCCGAGCTCATCCTAAGAGGTTTGAGGTAAATCACCGAAGTGAGGTTTTGCATGCATATTTCGAACAAGTTTCCACTACTGGAGTACTGCTGTGCATAACACCCGTGGTCACTATGACTTGGGTTCTCGGACACCAGGTCCTGCTTCGCTCATCTGATTATAAATGGTACGTTGTACGAGCCCGGGCGCCAGAAACCCCAGTGGTTAGAGGGCGAATTTACTGACCGCAAGGTCCGTGGTTCGAACCCGATCTCTTCCTCTCGACTTCTGTCCAGGTTTGGGCAACCTGATAGTATCCCAGCCCTAGTGCTTTCCTCAAGTGGCATGGCGGTCAGGCACCGAAAGGGTGCTCAGTTGAAAAATTATTATAATAATTGTTACTCGGTATGAGCCCAGACAATAACCTTCGGATGCAAAGCGATTGTCAAATGGTTATAAGTGATCGTTAAAGTCACATGGGTCTACAAAATAACNGGAATGATGGTGTTAAGCTAGCACTAAGTATCTCCTCCATCCACCTTTATTCTTTTTTTTACAATAAGGCTTTCAAATAAGTCATGGTTGTACGGCAGTGAAGCATTGGTGTTGAACACTGATTTCACGCTGTCGTTGATGATGATGATGATGATGATGATGATGATGATGATGATGATGATGATGATGTATAAGTCAATGACAAATCGTCGTTCGATGAGTCGGATACACCAATCACATTGCTCGAATGTGAACACGTTCACCTGTTCAGGCGTGAAAATTCAGATTCGTCCAACGCATGCATATTTCGAACAAGTTTCCACTACTGGAGTACTGCTGTGCATAACGACCGTGGTCACTATGACTTGGGTTCTCGGACACCAGGTCCTGCTTCGCTCATCTGATTATAAATGGTACGTTGTACGAGCCCGGGCGCCAGAAACCCCAGTGGTTAGAGGGCGAATTTACTGACCGCAAGGTCCGTGGTTCGAACCCGATCTCTTCCTCTCGACTTCTGTCCAGGTTTGGGCAACCTGATAGTATCCCAGCCCTCGTGCTTTCGTCGAGTGACATGGCGGTCAGGCACCGAAAGGGTGCTCAGCTGAAAAATTATTATAATAATTGTTACTCTGTATGAGCCCAGACAATAACCTTCGGATGCAAAGCGATTGTCAAATGGTTATAAGTGATCGTTAAAGTCACACGGGTCTATGGGTGTGGCATACGAATTTCTAAACAGTGATTTCATGGGTCTACAAAATAACGTTTATACTGCTCTGAAAACCAATCAGAAATCTTAAAGTCGAAAAAGCTAAATTTGATGTTCATATATCACGGGTCTATGGGTGTGGCATACGAATGTCTAAATAAAACAGTGATTTGGAGAACGTGCCTATCAAACAAATGACGTGTTATGGTAGGGTCGAGTACTTTAACTACACGTTAATATTTCATCCTTTTTGAGGCGCGATATATCGTAGACTAGTATGTGTGGTGGATACATCAAGTCGACCAGAAAGGGGATGTTCAGTTGTAAAATGTAATGGAGACCAAGTAGTATGTTAGAATTCT